TTTTTCCAAGTCTTTTTACCTTCCCCTCATTTTGGCATTTGGTGATATGTTGAACTGTTTGCATGAAGATTTACATGTCTCAGACATACTGCCTCTGGGCAGCTATATGTAATAGAGCTTCCTGAATGTTAAATGAACACAGTAACTGCTCAGGTTGTTGGTGCTTGTAAGAGGTGAGACCATGACTTATGATTCAGCCAGGAACCCTTGGGAACATAATGCTCAAATAAGTCATTAATGATTAATTGCATTGCATAATGCTAAGCATAGACTTAAAAACAGAAGTGTCACAAATAAGTGGCTGTGGTTCTTGTGTTTATTTGCTGAAGAACACAACTGGAAAACTGGATTATGTATCAGCAATTTCCACCATAGGAAACTTTATAGTTAACAGGTTTTTTTGTTTTTTTAAAATGGGTATTGGGGAGGGAACCCAAGGATTCTTTACCACTGAGCTACATCCCCAGCCCTTTTTATTTTTATTATTTTAAGACAGGCTCTAAGTTGCTTAGGGCCACACTAGTTTGCGTAGGCTGGCTTTGAACTTGTAATCCTCTTGCCTCAGACTTCCCAGCCACTGGGGTTATAAGCATTCACCACTACACCTGGTTGGTTTATAGTATCTTTTGATGTTAGCAAATAAAATAACAACCCATATTTTCTTATATGAAACAGATTGACTACAGCTGTTGATCTACCTCCTGAGTTTATTCACCTTTATATATCAAATTGCATTTCTACTTGTGAACAAATTAAGGATAAATATATGCAGGTGAGTAATAATGGGAATTTTTATAAATTCTATAAATAGGTGCTGAGAGGATGAGCAAACTAAAACTTTTTCTTTTTTCTTCCAGAATCGTTTGGTGCGTCTTGTGTGTGTGTTTCTTCAGTCCTTGATCCGTAACAAAATTATTAATGTGCAGGACTTATTTATAGAAGTACAGGCCTTCTGTATTGAATTCAGTAGGATACGAGAAGCCGCAGGCTTATTCCGGTTGTTGAAGACACTGGATACTGGAGAAACGCCTTCAGAGACCAAAATGTCAAAATAATACCTCACCAGAACTACCCAATTTGTTGTTCAACTGTATTGATTAGTTTTTAAAACTTAAAACTGAGTGGATTGCTTGGTCTTATACATATAAACAACACTTAATCTACTTTAAAGCAAAAGTTTTGCTTTTCCTGGATGACTTTTTCCTATAGATGAATTTTTGGTAAGAACTTGGACACAAAATGTTCTAAGTGTCTCGCTGATGACTCCATAGGAGGAATAATTATCCCAAATTACTGCAAAAAAAGTAGATGAGGTGTGTATTTTTTAAAAGAAATTTTAGCATTACAGAGCAAAGTGCTTGTTTTTGCTTCAAAGGCAAGCTACAGGCTTCTGATAAATCAGGAACCCAGTTTTCCTAAGGTTTCAGTGTTAAAAGTATCCAATGAGAGCAAAGACATTTTGAAGAAATTGTGATACTGTCATATAGTGAAGAGCAGTTGATTGTATCTCTTAACTTCTCATTAAGCATTGTGAAACAAGGACATGCATATAACTTTGTCATGGGAACTTCAGAGGTGGCAGAACAAATGTTTGGAGGGCCTCTTAAAAACACGGGAACTCTTAGGACAACGTTATAGTAGGTGATATTGTTTCCTAGGTTTTTTTTCTTCGTTGAGATGTCCTCTGTTATTACCCTAAAATGCATTTTTTTGTTTTATTTTGTATTGTTTTAAAGGAAAAACAGGGCTTTGGGAGGGAGTGTCACCCCTAGGAACTGCTGTCTGTGGCAGGGTAGATGTGTGAGATGTACCAGAGCAGGCAGTGCATGTGTCACCCCTCATGTCACTTTGGACAACAGTGCCTTCCAGTAAAGTTCTTTTTTTACCAACTGTCATCTGATGCATTTTTACTTGGAGAAATCATGACAAATTCCTTTTACAGAACTACTTCTAAAGCATATTTACAGGGAAACAATCTGTTCAATAGGAGTTATCCTCTAATCCAACACTTGGCAAAAGTTAAAATTTTTTTTAAGAGTACAAGTTTCACACTAAGTCCATGCCTCAGATCCATACTATTAAATGGGTAGACTCACAAACAGCATGAAAAAAGTGAGGAAACAAATTAACCCAAACAAACCAAGATACTCCAATAACAGAATCTATTGACGCCACAGTGGAAGAAATGTCAGAGGAGTTTAGAATGAATATAGTTAAACTGATATGCGAGAAAGGGACAAAAAAAAGTAAGGAGTGAAATCAGGGAGAAAATACAGGAAGTGAAAGATCATTTCAATAGAGAGATTTTTGAAAAAAAAAATCAAGCAGAATCCTTGAAATGAAGGAATTAATAAACCAAATTAAAAATTCAATGGAAAGCATCACCAACAAACTAGACCATATGGAAGACAGTTTTAGGCAATGAAGACAAAATAGATAATCTTCAAATTAAAGTAGAACATGGAGAAAAGATGTTAAAGACACCATAAACAGAACTTCCAAGAAATATGGGATAACCTGAACTTCAGTCCAAATTTAAGATTTATTGGGATGAAGGAAATGAAAGGAAGCACAATCTTTTCAATGAAATAATACCAGAAAAACTCCCAAACATAGTTTGGGAAATGGAAAAATCAAACACAGGAGGCTTACAAGGACCCCAAATATAAAAAACTACGACAGACCCACACTAAGGCACATTATTATGAAAATGTCTAACATACAGAATAAGAATAAAATTTTAAAGGCCGCCAGAGAAAAACAACAGGTCACCTTAAGAGAGAAACCAATCTGAATCTCAGCTGGTTTCTCAACCCAGACCCTCAAAGATAGGTGGTCTTGGAACACACACACACACACACACACACACAGAGCTTGCTCTGAAAGAGAATAGATACCAGCCAAGAATATTATACCCAGTAAAATTAACCTTCAGAATTGACAATGAGATAAAAACCTTCCATAATAATAAAAAAGTTAAAAACATTCACAACTCCACAGAGCCTGCACCACAAACATGTTCAGTATGGCATTTCATGAAGAAATGACAAAAGTGAAAACCAGCAGAGGGAGGAATAACACTAGAATAGCCAATCAAAGGAGAAACTATTTCAAGTTAAAAACCAGAAATAAAATGACAGGAAATAAAAACCACTTCTCAATAATAACACTGAATGTACTTGGCCTAAACTCACATGAATCAAGATAGACTGGCAAACTGGATTAAAAAACAAGATGCAACAATAAACTGTCTCCAGAAGTATGTTAGTTTCCAAATATTTGGAAGTATTCCAGATCTTTCTGGTGTTGATTTTTAATTTAATTACTGTAGTTAAAGAATATGTTCTGAGTAACTTGAATTGTTTTGTTTTCATTTTCATTCATTTCAAATTATTTTCTAATAATTTCTGATTTCATCATGATAAGAGACTGAGCTTTGTATCATTTGAACCAAGTTTTATACTTCTTCATGCAATATCTGAATTTTTAGGACATTTTAACATCACTTTCTCTTACTTTGAGCTGTAAAGATTTTTATATTCTGAATCCTGTATTTTACTATTCATAAATCCATGTATTTTATCTATCACTTGGTCACTTTTAAGTCATTTTTCTATTTGATGCAACAAGTACCAAAGAAATTTGGTTTTGTTATTTTTTAATATGGAATTCCAATTATTTCAGCACCATTTGTTGGAAACACTATCCCTTACCATTGAATTACCTTGGCACCTTTGCTCAGCTCATGTATGTGTAGGTCAATTTTTGAATTCTGTATTCTGTGCCATTTTTTCTACAAGTCCATTTTTATGGCAACATCACATTATCTTCATTAATGTCAGTTTATTGTAAAATTTTAACTCAGGAAACATGAGTCCTTCAGTTCTATTCCTTTTAACTTACATTGGTTATTCAGGTGCTCTGCATTTCCATATAAATTTTGTAATTTGCTTGCCAAATTTCTCAAAAAGTAAAATAATTTAAAAAACAACATCAATTTCTCTCAAGGCCTAAAAGTGGGCATCACAGTTCTGCAGATTAGGTCCAACTATTCTTGGATAAAGAACAGTTCATCATTGAAACAGCACTTTGGAATTGCAATTTCAATGACTGATTGCTATTGTTAGAAACAACCCAACTTAGATTCCTTGCAACTTCTGATTCCAGCAAAATATAGCACTGAACTTGAAAAGTCAACAATACAGCACTGTAATTCATGCCTGAATAAAGTTTGTCTAACATATTTTATCCTAAAAGCATATTATAGTCTTGCTCTTCATCATACTTGGGGACAATCAAACAGTGAAGTTGGAAACGAAAGTACAAAAAAATTCGGTACTAAAGAGACCATGGAAAACACCTGCTTGTACTATGACAGCTGAAACAGATTGTTCCCTCATTCAAACCTGTGTATCAGGCAACTCAAAATTTCAACCCAAGCATGACTAAAAATGACTCCTGAAAACGGTATGTGATGATTTGCGGGTTACAAATGAATTTTAGTGAGTAGGCGAGTTTTTAAACATGCATTTTTCAAATGAGGATCAAGATCTCATACACTGTTTATTTGAAAAAGGAAAGAGTCTCAAATTTATTTCACTTTCACAGTGCTGAGGACTGACCTCAAGGACTCTCACATATAGACAAATCATTCTACCATCCCCAGTACCTCAAATTTATTTTTAAATATATAGCTCACAGATAATAATAGTTATATTTAGAAAGTATCTTATAAAAAAGAAGAGTTGAGGCTTAAATACCATCACAAGGTTCTTCATTAAACATGTTTAAAAGTAAAAGAAGGTGGGCAGGGGTGTGCACCTGTAAATCCCAGCTACTCAGGCATCTGAGGCAGGAGGATCACTTAGGCCCAGGCCAGCATGGACAACACCAAGATTCCTTTTCCTTAACTGGGATTCAATACGGTACAATCAACTTTTGTATAATTGAGTTCAATTTAATTACGTTAGACAAAAACAAAACAAAAAAAAACACTTGGGTTCTCAGGATCTTTTTTAGTTTTAATATCTTCATATCACCTGTTTAAAAAAACAGAACAATAAACAAGAGTAGAAAAAGATGTTATTCCAAAAGAGAAAGAGTTTGGGATCCTAAAATATAACCAAATAATTCAAATCAACAGTATTTATTACTCATTTAAGCAACTTTACACAGAAATGGTATCATGCAATTTTCTTACAGAGCACATACTCATTCACACCTATTTTTAAACAGCATACTCTTCTATACATTCCCATTCCCATGGAGAGTGAAGAATAACTCGTTCTATTTTAAGCAATACTTCTGGATTAATGTCCCTTTAAGACAATGTAACATATCTAGAAAATTAAGAACTTGTTACATGTTTATTGTAATTCTAGCACACTGTGCTTTACTAAGACACATTGCTGTGATTTCCCTTTCTATCCATTCTGTTTTGTTATGCAATCACTGCTGTTCAATTCAAGAAAAGCCATAAGAAACATTCAAAAGGCACATGTATAATTCTGGAATTCTGTAACTGATATGAGCCCACAGGAGGTACTGGTAATCTCAGGCTTCTCTCATGAGCCCATGACATAGGCCCACAGCTCATCAAAAAGATGGCCTGACTTTTTCCTAACATCTCAATCCCCCCACCCCTGGCCCTCTACTGGAAATTGAGCCCAGTGACATTATTCCACTGAGCTACATCCTCAGTCCTGTTTCTGCTTTGAGACAGGGAATCAATAACTTGGCCTTAAACTGGGTAATCCTGCCTCAGCTCCCCCACTACCCCCATTCACTGGGATTACAGGCACGTGCCATCACACACAGCTTTTTTCTAACATTTTGAATGAATGCAGCACGTGTACTTTTCAGGTCACAATTTCTTTAATATATTCCTGTAGTAAGAGGGCAAGTCTCTGGGTATGTGGCCGATTATGACATGGTAGATTATGACATGGCAGATATTTCACTTTTATAACTAGTAATCCAATTACTAGCATTTGAAATGCTGAAAAAATGTTTTTAAGACTTTAAAAACTAAACTAGCTGGGAAAGGTGTAGGTGGCTCTTCTCATCGGTGGTTTCGTCACAGAATCATAACATGTTATGCCAAAAAACTAGTTTGCTTCAAGCCAATGTCCTGTGCTTTAGGAAATGGCAAAGTGGAGCTTATCCTGGGCCCGTAGAAACTGCTTTTGACTGAAATATAATTACCTCGAGTTCTAATTAGTAACATATACATGCTGATTTAATCTTATCCTTCAAGAACAAATAAATTTTAATGTGCTCAAAGCAACTGCTGCCAAATTAAACCGTCTTATTGGGGAATTTGGTTATACTGGGTACTTCATCCAGATGGACACACACCTATTTTTGAAGTTCTGTTATTATTTTTACAATTCCAGTCGTCTTTGATGTGGTTAAGTATGTGTACAAGGGTACAAAGAGAGGTATTAACTAGGTGGTCAAGTCCCAGTGTCATCTGGGAATCAGTGATTATTTTTTCTTTGAAACTGCCCAATCTCTGGGAATGCCCTTCTTAGCCCTCCCACTCAGAAAGCTTCCCCTAGGCATGCAGCTTCATCCTGCATTACTGAGGTCAGACCAGTGAGTCGCTTCAGGAGATTTTGTCATTGTGCACCCAGAGAGCAAACTGCTGAGGGAGACACTGCAATTCGGCCTTTTCTTGTCATCATTCCTCAGTAGCCACAGGGAGCAATCTTTCTAGAAAGGCTGTTATGTCCAAGATCCCAAAAAAGACAGCATATAAGAAACCATTACCTGCCAAATGACCATGTCTTCACACCTTTCTGGCCCTTTGAGGTTTTCTGCTGGGAAAGTCAGAATGCCAATCACACCCCAGGGAGTGAAGAGGCGAGGCAGGCAGGGAACCATCATGTACTTCAGTGTCATGGATTTGGTTTCCTTCACACCATTCCTATGATTTTCAAAGTTAAAAAAACACTGTTCCACATTATGTGAACAAATGGCTTTTATGATAATTTTTAGGAGGAAAGTAACTAAATCTCATTTAGTGTAATCTTCATCTAGAGTCCCCAAATCCCCAGCATTTTATTAAATTTAAAAGTTTCCATAAATATTCTGGTTAAGAGTTGAGGGAAGCTATTTTGATGTCCGCTGATTAAGAAGTTACACTTCTATAATTAACCAAAAATAATTAACCTTGGTCTGTCCCAGTGTTCTGAGACAGCTTCATTAGCTACCAAAAGAATTACTAAAACACTTTTTTTTACATGTCTCTTGAAAGGCAGCTACTTGGTACAGAATCAATAACGTATTTTCCTATTTGTAGTGAACACAAAAGGTAGATTTCAAGATAACAGCTGTTATGGAAACTAACTTTGAGGCTACCTACGAAAACAAGTACTCAAAGCAAGACAAATTTTCTATTTCAATACTCCTTGTATCAAATCTGGCTGTACAATTTATTTCAGTAAAACAATTCATCAAAAATTTTACTGAGTAGCTAGACTCAGTTTGTATACATAGTACATAGCTGGAGAAAAAATAAGCTTCATAAACCCTAATATTCAAGATATAGCTATAATATAAATTATTTTTTAAAATCATATTTTCCTCAATAAACAAAGTAAAAAGCAACAAATGTCTATATAATCTACACTTTAAAAGAAATAACTGCTACATAGTCCTTGATTTTCACCTCCAAGAAGTGAGAAAAGAACAGAGTTGTTTTTGATCACTTTATAAACAGCAATATCCAAAAGCTTTACATTTGACCAAAGAGAACATTAAATAAAAGTTTAAAAAAACTGTGTTTGTGTGTGTGGGTGTGGCGGGGGGGGGGGGGGAGTTGAGGTTAATCAAAGGCTTGCTTAAAAACTAATCAAGAAAACTAGTTATTTTATTCCAACAACAAATATAAAAATTCTTCATCTATCATTCTTTTAACTGTAAAGATTAAATTACAATTAGAACCAATACAATATATTCATCATTATAAAAATGAATAATAGTACACCTATTTGATTTCCATAATCAAGCAGCAAATAACTTAATGCTTATATGAAATATAAAGTCTTAACTTTTTATTTGTAGGAAAGGTGGACAAACTTCCCTCCATTAAGATGTCACAAGTAGTTCGTACTAAAGGGGAAAATGCAATTCCTAAAGTCATCTAACGCTTTTCTCATAATTCCAGACAACAATGGAAATCGCTTTCTCAAGTTCTGAAATCTCTATGTACAATGAAAAATGTGCAAGAAAGCTAGATATTTCTCATCTTTTAAGTGCAAAGTAAGTTTTGTAAGTTTTTCTTCAGAGAAAGCCCATATGATCAATTATTGAATTTAATCACACAATTCCACTTCAACTAATCTAAAATTGGTGTGCTTTGTCTAAAAAGCTTGAGAAATAAAATTAACTTTGTTTACAGTACTGTAGTAACTAATGTAGTATTTAGAAACACCCCCCCCTTCCACATTAGCATGCCTTCCCTAGGCATCATCTCTGATAGTCCAAAACAATTTATCATAAACACTGTATTCTTGTAGATAAATATATGAAGACGAATCAAAAAGTCTCCTTAAGAGTAAAATATCTTAGCCTTCTGTATATAAAATCTGAATCTGAAAGGTAAAATATACATTATTTTCAAGTATATAAACTATGTGCTAAAAAAAAAAAAAAAAAAAAAGTCCTCTTTAGTTCAAGCCATGTGTCTGTGAGGGATGTGCGCTAGGAGATGGGTCCTCCACGCTGAGGGTCGCTCCTGCCGGCTTCTACAACAAAGCATCAAAACCACCCCAGGTCAGTAAATTGGTCAGCACATTCTAAACTTCAGTTACATAAATACAGCTACTCATCTGAATATGGTATTTCAAAAACCAAATTTCAGAAATATTTAAATAAACTTACTTGCAAAAATGATATCCTATTCCAAAGAGACAGCAAACAAGAAAAATATAGAACTAATGTTTCTTAGATATGCTAAGAGAGGTTTTCTAGTATTAGGCAAAGTGATATTAATTTGATCAGCATGGTACTACAAAAAAGACAAAGTATGAGTTGATGGTATTGGAATATGTTTTCAAGAGTCAAACAAGCAGCTGTGAGAATGATGTAGCCACCAATGAAAACATGGCTAACATTTATTGGTACTATATATGATCCCATGAGGTACAGACTAGTATGTCATTATCTCTTTTTATCAGCATAAAGATGTGGAGCTGGTGTTTAAATCCAGGCATTTAAGTGAGAAAAACAGGGATACAAAAATCACTAAAGCTCAAAAGGTTTCTGAGGACTGTGTGATACTTCCCTAAACACAGCAGCAGAACCAAATACTTATTCAGGTTCTTTTCTTTGCCAGTTTAAAATTTAGTGGTAAAATAACAAATAACTTTATTAGGGGCTGCAGTTGTGGCTCAGTGGTAGAGCACTTGCCTAGCACATGTTGAGGCACTGGGTTCTATCCTCAGCAACACATAAAAATAAATACTAATAATAATAATACAGATACAAAAAAAAAAACTTTATTAAATTTGTTTTATTTTTGGTGCTGGGGACTAACTCCAAGTTTTACACATTCAAGATTATATACTCTACCACAGTGTCCTCAGTCCCTATTATTAACCATTTTTCCCCACCTTAAAAAAATTGATTTAGGGGCTGGGGATGTGGCTCAAGCGGTAGTGCGCTCGCCTGGCATGCGTGCGGCCCGGGTTCAATCCTCAGCACCACATACAAACAAAGATGTTGTGTCCACAGAAAACTAAAAAATAAACATTAAAAAAAAAATTAAAAAAAAAATTGATTTACTTTTTAAATTGGAAAATATAAACGGTATATATTTATGGTGTATGATATGGTGTTCTGAACTATGTATACAATGGATTGGTTGAATAAAGCTTATTAATATATGTATTACCTCACATACTTGTCATAAGAACACTTAAAGTCTATCTTCACCAATTTTCAAATATATAATATATTGTTAACTAGAGTCACCATGTTGTATATACATGTCTTGGAACTTATTCCTCCCTTTTAACAGAAATTTTGTATGCTCTGGCCAGGGTCACCTCAAAGCCAAATACTCTGAGCTCCCTACAAAAGAGGGGTAGATAGACTGGACATTGGGAGGAGCAGGCAGCAGGGACCCTTGCAGGGGGTGCTCCACTCGAAGTTCCACACTGATTGATTAGCTGCTCCTGTCAGCCCAGCAACATTTTCCTAACCGTAAGCAAAACTGCATTATATTCTGTAAGTATTAATGTCCACTTCAAATAACTGATTTTTAAAATTTAGCATTTCTCAATTTATACTATGACTGTTACAGGATAGAAAGAACATTATTATACAAGTTACCAGTTAATTTACTAGAGAACAATACTTAGGATTAAAGAAAGGACAAAGAGAAAAAAATAAAAAGTGAGCCTCCAAAAGAGGTTGGGGTTCTCAGGAAGGGGAATCCAGCTTCTTTAGAATGTACTCAACATCCTATTGTTTTGTAAACCCAGTTTCTTTTTTCATTTTCTTTACTTCTATTCACTATTTTGAATTTTGTTATCTTCTAAGTAGGCACCTGAAGAGAGACTATGGTGAAGTGCAATACAACAAGGCAGATGGCAGGAAACTGGAAACTACTTTTGAAGGACATTCAGAAGGACTGGAGCCTGCATTTGCACATTCTCAAGGCTGGCCGTGTGCCAGAGAAAGCAAATTCAGTTTTCTTTATAAAGCCTGAAGGCAACAGCAAAATTCATACTGGTAGCACTTTGGCTTAATGCAATGAGATGCCTAAAAACAAGATCCATTTCTAAGAGGCTGCCCTGGACGGTGAAGAGATCAACCCTGACAATTTTATGGTTCTGTATCCATTCTCCTTTTTCTTTCGAAAGGCGCTTTTTTTTTTTTTCTTGGTACCAGTTTAAAACTTCAATTCTAGTGTTTCTACTATCCTTACCTCACATGTTAAAAAACAAATTAAATTTGAATCTCACTGCTTTGAAAAATATGCATTTTTACTCCAGGATGCAACATTCAAATTGGCAAGCATCAACTCTTCCTACTTACAATAACCTGCAAGTCAATTCAATTCCAATAAAAATTCAGATGAGATTTTGATTAGGCAAAATTATTTTAGAATTAATCTTTAAAGAATGCAGAATACCTCAGAAATTTTGTAAAAGAAGAATAAAGAAATAATTTCCCTGCCTTGCAATATCAGAAAATATTTTTTGTGGAGTGGAGGGTATAGCTCGGTGGTACAGCATGTGTCTAGCCTGTGAGAGGGCCAGGGTTCAATTCCCAGCACAATAAAAGAAAGAAAAAAATAATAATTATCATTCACTAAATAATCTAAGAAGAAATGTTAGGAAAACAAACAAGTTAGTTAAATCTACCAGCCACTTACCAAGTAATGCTGTGCTTTCCCCTGCATCTTCTTTGAAAGTGGTAGGGCACTGTGGCCCAGACTCATTAGTGGATGAGGATGGCAGGTTGCTGCCACTGCCACTGCTTCTGCCCTCCTCTTGTGAAGCTACACTCACATTCCCAGGCGAAATGCTTCCAGGGGTAGACTCAGGAGTGGGCAGCTCCTGAACATCCTCAGGTTCTGCTCCCTTGAAAATCCGAACAGAAGAAAATGCCTTTTCTAAGTAACTCCATCAGTACTTAACTGTCCTCTTGCTCATAGTACGTTAACACGTCCCTGACATTTGAACACTGAACTTGGCAAAAGTGAATAGGCTCTGAACAACAGAATGCTTCAGACTATATTCTGGTTTTCTTAAAACAAAATAAAACAAAAAAACTTAGTCCTGGAGTCCTGGCTCTTACTCTCAGCACTCTCAGCTGTAGTTTGTTTTGTGCTTCCCCTCTTTTACATTTGCTACTTAAATAAAATAATGAAAGGAGGGCCAGAGGCTCCATGGCATCACTACATTAAGTCTCCGACATTTGGGGGGATATCCAGACATTGTTGAGGAATGCTAGAGTCAAAGCTGCATGTGAATAGATGACACTGCTGGGAAGGTGACTTACTAAGCGAGGGTTACCACAGCCTGATTTGATCGTGTGGCTCACGGAGCACTCCACCTCTGTCCTCTGGGCTCTCAGGACACCACTGGCCTGTTTCAGCTGTGTCCAGAACAATCTCCTCCTCCCTTACCAGTAACTAAACACCTTTGACACCCAGCACTGAACGTTACCTCTCACCTCGACTCCCAACACACCAAGTAACAAATCCTGTTGCTGTTGTGTTACCACAATGCCAAACTCCTGCTGAACCCCACCACAAGCTGTTTATTTAAAATCTGCCTAACCTAACTACCTGGAGGCCTCTCATCCCATAGGTCACCCCTGGAGACACACCATCAGTCAGTAGTACACTGAAGTGCTGCTAAAATCCTTTAACACCCAGCTCAGTGGCCCAAATAAAATGCACTACCTCCATCTTCTCACTTCTCCTTGCTTAATACTCCAGCCAGTACCTCAAACACTGTTCTCTTGTCATGTTCTACCTGTGTACTGGTCCCTACCAGTCCTGAAGGTCAAATTCCCAAGAGCCCTCGATCAGAGGGGCTGTGTCTTATCCATCTTTACCTCACTAGAGCCAAGTTCAGATTTAACACCTAAATGGCATTCCTTTATCAGTGCTCACTGAATGAATGAAAACAGTGACAAATAGTATTACAGTGCAAAAAACAAATGACGGTTCTTAAAGTCTGTGTGACGGGCCACTGGTGACTTCACATGATCATGAAAAAACAGAGAATTAGACACTACAAGAAAGCACGCCATGGCTATGGAAAATATCCAAGGCAAGAGGAGTTGATGGGTTAAAGAAAATGGCAAACCATGTAAAGACTAAAAAAAAAAAAAAAGTAAGACAAGTGAATTCTTTTGTCAGCCTTAAAGTTACTACAGGTTTCTACCCTTCAAAAACTAAATTAGGCATTCTGGGGACAAAAGTCTAGCTTTCTGAAATTAACATTCTAAGAAAGCAGGTTAACTCTATGCAAAATGAAGACTCGTTTGACTTTTAATATACAAATATACATGGAGTTATGCTTCCCAAATCAAAACTCATGAGGATCAAAGTCTCTACAGTAAGGTCAGTGAAATTCCCTCATACAAATGTCCAGAAGTGAACAGCAAGTTTAAAATTATTGACTAATGAAGAGAATAATCTAGTAAAAGCTTCAGAGTATACCTAACTAAAAAGACAATTCTATGACTGCCAAGAAAATAACCTGTCAAACTCCTTGTGTTCTAGCATTTAAAATGCTGAACCAGGAAGGCTCAGTTTCTCACTAAGCTAGTTTCTGGAGCAAAGAGGACAAGAGCTAAGCCCGCTGGGGAAGCATGTTATGCCATGCTGAAGAAAGCTACAATGATTTTAAAACCACAATAAGTTAACTTTAGAAATCATGGAAGCGAGACAAATTTTCAGGACATCAAAGGATGAGGTTCTAGTAAAGCAGTTCTTGATCACTGGACTTTCCTCTTCCTGGATACCTACAGAGAGGTTATTCTGGGACTTATTTTGTAGTTATTAAGGAGAGGTCTCTTCAGTATCTTCGGAAGACACTGTAAGCTAGATGAGAGGAAGTTTCAGGCAGACCTGCAGCCCAGGAGATATGCACAAGGCCCTGGGTTCAATCCCCAGCACTAAAAAACAAATCTATATCTTTGTAGTTCCTATTCTATAATAAGCCCTACAAAAAACCCTCTAAAACTATGTTTAGCTACAAGAAAAATAAAATCAATGTTCAAACTATTCTTTTCAAAGATCTCTATCTAAAAATTTTATTATCAGTGTATTTTGAGCCATTAATATATTTTATGTAGACTCTGAAAACAATAAAAATGTGACAATCTAGAAAAATAATTTTTTCCTCTATATCCTTCTCTTTGGGTTGGATAGTAATTAAGAATGTGAACTCAGAATTAAGCAAACTTGTGTTTGAAAGCTAATCCCCCATGAACTAGCTGCACAACTTCAGATATTCAGCTTCTCTAAGCACAATTTTGTAACTAGTAGGACAGGGAAGCTAACAGTTGTGGGAGTAAATATAATCATGTATTTAAGGCCTTTAGCAAGCACATGGCTGGTTGCTGTTATAATCTCTTTCATTTTGCCCTCATGTCTTCTGAGAAAGATTTCTGACCATCTACATATTACAAACTAATGGACCAAAATCAATGCAGAACGATGTCTCCAGCACTATTTAATTTTGAAATCCAGGGATAAGGAGAACTGATATGAAGAAGTGTTGACTTTAGTTTCCTCTTATGTAAAATGTGCACTGAAGCCAGAAAAGTTGTGGGGTTCCTTACGATTCTTGTTTATACGAAACTGACTACCATATAAACATTTTGCAGTGTAGTATACCAAGATATATTGGTCTAAGTAATTAGAAATTTTCTGAGGGACATCCTGGCCTATTATTATACCATGAATTGAATTAATTAATTATTTTTTCAACTTTAAGAATTTGTTTTTAACAAAGAGGAAAACTTCTTAAAAAGAGCCACAAGGATATAAGAAGGAGCTTGTCTGGTCCTCTTGTCTCTGGTCAATAATGAAATCTATCACTCAGGAAGAACTGGGGCAGAGATTAAATATAAACAAAAATGTAACAAACCCAATATCCCAGGGCTTTGATGACATCAAGTTTACACATTGGACATGTTCGGTGATCCAAAAGCCATGGGTCAATGCATATTCTATGAAAAATATGCCTAAAAAAATTAAGTATGTGTTAATGTTTTAAAATAAATGTTTATATATCTTATAAAGGAAATAAGACATTCTATCAACTCATCCCCTCAGTACAAGTTAACCAATGTCAAATCAACATTCTAGAGTAGTCATTTTTCCTAAATTATCAGCTAATCTACTTTGTACTTACAACAGAATTTGGGACTTCCAGTAAAATGTTCCCTTCACTCCACAAAAACAGCATGGCTTATTTCCATCCCATGCTATGTTGTACATTTCTATGTGCTTGAAAAAATTACCTGCAAGACTTCTGGGAATAAATGTGGCTTAAGTAAGCTAACACTACTAAATTAATACTAAATTGATAGTATTTTATATGGGTCCATAAAAGCATTCAAATGGAAAATATATCAAAATATTAACAAGTCATCTTTGGGTAGCAGGCTTAAAAAATATTTTTATAAACATTCTACATTTTTCTATCAGAATTTTTCAAGGGCATATATATTTTCTTCTTTTACTGATTCGCCATTATTTCCTCTTATGTGATGGATGAGTCTATTTTCTATGTGTGAGGAAGACAGGGCATCAAATATGGGCTTTGGAATAAAACAGATGGGGATCAAAAGCCAGCTGTGCGACTCAACAGCCTTGACCCTGGACGAGGCTCCTGCCCTCCCTCTCTGCATATACAGCATAGGCTGCTCTGAGAGGCACAAACAATGTGTGTACAAGAGTGCTGGGCATAGCACATGTCTAATACAATCATTTGAAGAGCTTCCTTCAAATAGAAATCCCCTAGGTCAGGTAAGGTAACAGTTCTTAATTATATCATAGTCTAATTCACCTTGCCTTTTGATTTTCCATCTGCAAACTAAAAACTGACAGACCCAAGGAAACAATTTTTACAAAAAAAAAAAAAAATTATTGGGAATATGTTATATAAATCACAGGAGAAAACTGGGAAATAAGTAAAAATCTCAATGAGCAGCCCAGGAAATGTACATGTCTGCATTTGACAGTCAAGTACAAACCCCACCTCAGCCATCAGTATAGACACCTAGGCTCATCTGTGCAGCATAGAGAGCATTATTTCTTAAGGAAAACATGTCCTAAATCAGCCTAGAGTAACTTTAATGATGTTAAAGAAGACATGATCAACCTATACTGAGACCAATTCATTAGGTACCCACACCTACTTTCATTCAGGAAACTTTTGACTTTGATATTCTGATACTCGTTCCTTTATTTCCTTCACAGAATTATTAAGAACTTAGTCTACCCTGCAGTAGTAGATTATACACTAACATGCTTTGCAAACAAAGCAAAACACAAATATATTAACTTATGACGTGCTTCTAAAAGGTGTAAAGTATAAATGAAATTTATCTGACTTAAAATATAATTTCTGTACATAAAATAAACCATTCTGCTAACAAAATAATTCTTCTAAAAGTTATCAATTAAAGTAGCCTAAAAAGGAAATCACAACTTCCTGTTGCTAAAACTGAACTTGAGCAAAACCAAGTTACTGTAACCCAAATAAAGGGAGGAATATTTATTTTTCACAACCACAAAGAGAACTCAAACTCAGGGTACAAATAGCAAACCACTGCCCTCCCCACACCTGCTTCCTGCTGGCTGTTTTAGGCCCATTCCCTTGGGTCCTTCACCTTTTTGCTTCAATTTTCTTGCTCTTGACATAGCATACTTTGCTAAGTATATAATAAAATTCCCAGCATTCTAATGAATACCTGCTTATGAGACTAGAAGCTCATCTATGACAAAGATGTACACTGGGTCTAATGGTCATGGAAGAGTCCTAAGAAAAGCAATTTTAAAGAGCCTTGAAGACAGTAAGAAAACCTAAGCTTCTCTTTCAAAAGATGAGATGATCAAAATAGCAAGATCTTTATACCATAAAAAGGACACAGAACTCTTTTGTCAGGATACTGAAACTTGTCCAGCAATTATTAATGACTCAGTAGGTTAAAAAAAAAAAAAAGAAAAAAGAAAAGAGAAAAAAAAAAAAACATACTTGCATGGCAGAATTCTGATAACGTCCTTTACTTTAAAATTTTCAATACACACTGCACAATTTTCGGCATCAACATCAATTCCCTGTAAAAAGAAAAGGAAAGAATTTACTTTATCCTTGGCATTAGCACATCCTTCGAAAATGCACTATATACTGACTAAAACAATGATGGATTCTATTTTACATTGGGATAACATGAAACTAAAATTCAGATGATTATATTTGGTATTTACTTCTTACCACTATCAAGAGGTTATCTAAGGAATGAGGCTGAAAATGAAAAAATTTTACTGTTTGCCTACTCAGACACAATAGTATTTAAATATGCTAGGAAATGCCTGCCATATTATGATGAAATAAATCATTTCTCAAACATAAACCTTACACTTTAATGAAAAGAATAAATATCCAGGAAATTACTCATTTCCTAGAATCATTAAAAAGAAATTTACATCTGCTAAAGACAAATTTATAATCTGCATATGAGAAAATAAAAATGGCTACATATCTGAAAATATCTACCTCACTAGTACTAAAAGAATTACAAATAGGAATAAGTCATTTGTTTTTCATGTAATGAATTAACAAAGACACAAAGAAACAAAAATTGCTGGAGAAGAAAGTCTTGTGACAAAATTTCCACTTCTAAGAATTTATGGGTCAGCCCTCTCCACTTCTCTGGGTACCCATGGATCCATCCACCAGGTTCTATCTCATCAACCAAGCAGTCAGGGCCAGAGTGATCATTGTCCCAAAACAGAACGGACTTCTGGGACAGGGATTCAGGAACTCAGTGCTGAATGTGGCTGCAAAGTTCATTTTATGAAATATGACTACATTATCCTTATAATTACTTAAAAATACATTTAGCTAATATGCCACTTATAAAAAAGAAAGCAGTTAAGAACTGAATTTTGTATAAAAATAATGTTATCAAAGACCATGTTAAAATCAAGTTTATACCAACATTTTAAATTATACACTGCAATAAAAGTAAATACTGTCATTTATTTATCATATGCCATGCAAAAATAATGAAACGATTTTAATAATTTTTTGAATATGTACTTTTTTTTTTGGCAATACTGGGGATCAAACCCATGGCCTTGCTAAGCATGTGCTCTACCACTGAGCTACATCGTCAGCCCTGAAATGATTTTTTGAAGTCCTTAATAATGGCATTAAAGTTTACACATTACTATTAGTAAATCTACACAAAAGAAAAATTGGAAAAAAAAAAAAAAAAAAGAATGTCAGTATCCAAAACCAGGTTAAGATATAGACTACAAAAAATACATGTTTAAAATGTAAAATTGTCATAAAATCCATGTATCGATACAACTCATGGAACACTTATGGATTTTCTTTTTTAACTATTACTCTGACAACTTTCAAAAAACTGTCCCTGGGGGAAAAATATATATATATATATTTTTTTTTTCTTTTAAATGTGCTGTATAGGAAGAAGATAATATCAATTTACTTATGTTTTCAAAGACTCAATTCCATTAATTACACATATGAATCTATATCTTCTCATATGTTATAATGGTGGTTCCTGACGAGAGCAGAAGGCATTCATGTTCCAGAGGAACATAGAACCATATGCTTATGAGTAACTAGTTATGCAGAATGGGTTTAGAATCTACCAAGGGCATTAACTGGAAAGTCTCTCCTAAAGAACCCTTAGAGATTTGTAAATCAGATGCTAATCTTAAGCCATAAAGAGTATTTTTTCTTATATTTCTTTTTTATTTTTTCTATTCAAAACATTTATACAAAAAGAAATCATTACCTTGTAACAAACTACTAAAATTCAAATGAACTGCGATGTAAGTTATATTAGGGAAAGAATGGTAGCCACCAATATAATTCTTAGAATATCTTAATACTAACTATATCACATAAACCATTAATAACAGATTTCAAAATTTTATACTCTGTAATTTAATGTGTTATTTTTGTTTTAATCATCCTTTAAGTAGGTTAGAGGAAGAAATATGTACTGTAAATGTAGTTTCTCTTCCTTTTGGTGGGGGAGGAGGGTAGACTAGAAACTAGAGAATGGAAAAGATTAAGTTTTAACAACAAAACAACTGAACCAATCCCACAACTAAAGTCAACACTAGTCAGCAACATTTCAAAGCACCAAAGAGGGACCATTAAAAAAATAAATACTACTGCATTAGTAACAGCTTTCCTTTTAGGCAATCTATATCATTCTAGATTCAGGATTTGTCCTATTCCAAAATGCTTTAAGTCTCTGGTATGATTCTAAATCTTTAAAGTCTCAGCCCCTCCCAACCCCAAAAGTTTACTTTTTTTTTTTAATAAAAAAGTAGTTTTAAAGATATCTTTTTTTTTTTCCTTTTCCACAAATATCAAGTATGTTTTTCCTGTACTTGGGGGAATCAGAGAGAATGGACATGTAGTCTCAAATTTAACAGAAATGAATTTAAGGAATCGCAGGTCTATGGTATAAACTTTAAGTTCTGCAGCTTCTTTATAGTCACCCAGATCTGTCCAATAGCACTTTCTAAGATGATGGGCATGTCAGTGCCATCCAACATGGCAGCTCCTGTCAACGTGGCTACTGATCACTTGAAATGTAGCTAGTGTGACTGAGGGACACAATTTTAAATTTAATTTAATTCACTTAAATAGCTGTATGTGACTAGTGGCTAACCCTCAGGAGAGCACAGATCTGGAATGTTCTTCAACCTCAGAATTTCTACTAATCCTCTTTACAATAAATATATACATGCAAGTTAATACTAACTCAATTTACCAAAGCGCCACAGACTGGATACTGTGAATTAAAAGACGGGAAGGGAAGTATTTCTCAAGACATAAACACATCCTTTGGTCCAAACCAAGAAACAAAACAACACAGTATAAAAATATTACCTTTTCTCCATGCTTTACAGTATGAAGTAGAAGCTGGCCAATAACTTTCTTAGTTTCCTTTCTATGGCTCTTGGAGAGAAAATTATTATTATTATTGTTAATAAATTAATAATAAAATATCATTATTATTGTTGAAATTTTCAAATTAAATCACTATTTTATAAAAAATTATATGCAAGCATATAGAAAAAATTTCATTAAAAAGTCAATTTTTAATTTCATATTACAATGAAAATAACTAAAAATACCTTCATCACCATTTTAAGTCTTAATATATACAACAGTCATATAACTTAAGAGCTATTTGACTGACAAAACTTATTTTCAATTCTACGTCTGAAGAAGGAATCAACTTTTTTAGTCTGTATGTAGTGCTGTGGAGATGAAACTCAGGGCCTCAGATATGCTAAACATGTGATCTACCACTGACCTACATACACCTCAGCCACAGAAACCAATTCTATGTCTAAATATCAGCAAGAAAGAAATAGGCTGAGGATGGAGGTACCATATGATCACTCTGTCAGCCATCCCCCTTTATGGTATTAGGGATTGAACCCAGGGTTGCTTAACCTCTGCCCTTTTTATTTTTTATTGAGACAGGGGTTTGCTAAGTTGCTTAAGCTGGCTTTGAACTTGCAATCCTCCTGCCTCAGCCTCCCAAGCCGTTGGGATTACAGGTATTCACCACCATGCCCAGCATCAAGGAACTTAAAAACAAAGAGCCCTTCCTATGTCAACAGTCAGGAAGGCCAACTTTGCATAGGCACATATCCTGCTACTAGAAGCCTCTGGCTCTTCATCAGCCCTCATCTCTGCTGTTACTGAGACAGGGTCTCTCTGAAGGGAAACGGCTTGACAGCTGCTCCACAGTGGAGACAGGGATGCTCGTTCCCTGCTTTTAGGCCAGCTCAGAAACCCAGGTTATGAGAGCAGGTTCACTACATCTGGTACCTTTTTGCCATTGCTCTCTGTCTGGAAAAGGACAAATGATATGTGCAGGAACTGAATGTGCAAAAAGTGTCCTAAACTTAAAAAATAGTTTTTAATCTTCCACAAGATAGAAAATTTAATGCATTCTAATTAGAAGGTTAGTTTCAAAAAGTCATATGAATACTTATATGAGTGAGAAGGAAATAAAGAATATGGTCAAATATAACTTCAAGCAATATATATGGGATATATTTATGAACTATCTTTTCAAAAGTAAAAATAAAATTATCCATAATTACCTGACTTCCAAACTGCGAGCCAGTATACAGGAAACGTTGTATATAGTAAAATATTAGCCAGGCTAAGGAGATAATCATCATAGTGATGAAGGCAATGGCCACAAACACCACAGACTGACCGCTGATGAACTCCTGCACATGACGGGTGCCAATCCCTATGGTCACTTTTACTGGAATTCCTTTTTGTACCACATCTAAAATTTCTCTTCCTTTTAGATAGCTAACCATAATGACCACTATACTTCCTGTTCCTGTAGGAAGGATCAAAGAAATCAATGTAAGACAAAAGAGAGCTATGTTCATCAACACACATTTGAAAACTTCAAAAAAAATTGAAAAATTTTCAAGGAAAACATCAGTTATCAAAATTGATTCCAAAAGAGAAAATAGACTGATCTCATGAGGAAAAGTAGAATCAATCACCAAGAAGTACCTTCCCAAAAGCCAGGATACCCTTCATTTTCTTGGGTGACATCTATACCACCAAACCTTTAAGGTTAAGTACTGCTGATGATATTTAAATTGTCCCACAGCTGACTGTAAGGGGACAAAGGAAGTTTTAAAATTATTTCTAAGATTATAAACCCAAACATAGAATAAAAAGCAAAAGAACCAGTCTGACTAATTTTACTTGCATATAATAATATATAATACCTGAAACATACCAATTAAAATCAGGGAGGCAATATGAGAATTTCACTATGATCACTATTATTTAACATTGCTCTGAAGGCACAAGCAACCATGAGATAAAAAAAAAATAAAGAGAAAAGGGGCAAAATAATCAACATAAACCTAGCTATAAATGAATATAACAATGATTAAATATAAACAGGATTAAAGAAAAACATTAATATTCTACTTCTAAAGTCATTTAGGGAAAAAATAATCAGGAATGGATCAGGCAAACTTTTATATATATGTATGTATTTTTTTTAGTTATAGTTGGACACAATACCTTTATTTTATTTATTTATTTATTTTTATGTCGTGCTGAGGATCTAACCCAGGGCTTTGCACGAGCTAGGTGAGTGGTCTACCACTGAGCCACAACCCCAGCCCCCAGGAAAACTTTTTAAATTAACTAAAACAGAATGGGAGTAGCATATGAAGACACTCACAGAACAGCACAGAACAAAAACACCAGAAATAAACATACAAAACTATATGTGTGTGTGTGTGTGTGTGTGTGTGTGTGTGTGTGTGAGAGCGAGCGAGCGAGCGAGCCTAGAAGAAACAGGGGAATTAAAAAACTAATTTCCCAGCCAAGTGTGGTGGTACAGTTCTGTAATCCCAGCTACTCAGGAGGCTGAGGCAGGAGGATCACAAGTTCAAAACCAGCCTGCACAATTTAGAGAGATCCTGTCTCATAATTTTAAAAAAAATTGTTAAAAATGGGCTAGGGCTATAGGTCAGTGGCAAAGCACTTGCCTACCATGCTTAGGACCCTGGGTTCCTTCCCCAGTACTGTAAAACAAACAAATTTTCTATAAGAAAAAGGATGACTGTAAAACAAAGAAAGTCAGTTTTCAGGATGGAAAATACAAATGGTTTTTAAAAATAGCAGCTTAGGGCTGGGGATGTGGCTCAAGCGGTAGTGCGCTCCTCTGGCATGCATGGGGCACTGGGTTCGATCCTCAGCACCACATAAAAATAAAATAAAATAAAATAAAGATGTTGTGTCCACTGAAAACTAAAATAATAATAATAATATTTTAAAAATTCTTTCTCTCTCAAAAAAAGCAGCTTAATTGATATATAATTCATACCATAAAAATCATCCTTTTAATGTATACAATTCAGTGGTTTCAAGCAGACTGACTAGTTGCACAAGCATTACCATCATTTAATTCTATAACATTCCCATCATCCCATAAAGAAACCCCTGTGTCCATCAGTATCCAGTATCCATCCCCAACAAGTGAATTTTAAACATGAAAACTCATGGCACAAGTGAAAAGATGTTATATGTAAGATTGTCAGAGACACTCTCTTGTACAATGCTGGGGGAGTGAATTATAACATTCTTGTATGGGGGTGGGGGGAATGGTTACCAAAAAATTTAGACACACCTTTCTCTGACCCAGCAATTCTGTGTCTAAGAATGTAATTAACTGGTGTACTTATACATAAATATGGTGGAATATCTATAAAGACACTTTATTGCTAATGTTTTTTCTTTCTTCTTTTTTTGAGTAATAAAAATTCTTGCTGTCAAAACAAGACATAACAGAAGACAATAAATTGTCCTGATAATTTTAGACTCTAGGCTTCTCAATGAGGTCAGCTCCTTATATAAGATAGTATCCAAAACAAATAACAAAAGGTATCTGAGATAGTGTTCAAGACAGAGACTATTCATGTACACATGAGGAGAATACAAAGGCAGTTTCTTGATTCCCTTTCCTTTGTAAGATATGTGTTGCATGTACCTTTTGGTGAAAAATGCTTTCATGAAAAATTGTGAATGTTTTCATTTCTCCCTGCGCAAAAACAAAAACAAGTTTTAGGCCCTGACCTGAAAAAGGAAATCAAAATACTATGAAACTAATTTCACATAAATATCAAATCAAGACTACAACTGTACATATCATCTTCTTTACTTCAAATGAGTAGAATCAATTTCCTCCCTTAGGGAGTTTTCAAACTGGCATTAAATTAGTCTTACTTTAAGGTACAAGAAAGAAGAGGCAAAACTAGTGTCTGAGAGGCAAGGGTGTAGCTCAATTAGGACAAGCTTTGTACTAATGTTTCCAAAAATGAAAAATTAAAAAAAATTATTTCTTTAGCTGGGGCCTCTCTCAATGACAGAGCATGTGGGAGGCCCTGAATCCCCAGCACTGGGGGGGGGGGGGGGGACAAAAATCACTGTGAAATACAAAAGAGAAGCATCCCTCCAACAGCAGTGGCTCAGAAGGTACAAAGAGGTATGAGGAACCAGCTATAGGACAAAGGAATCTATCAGGTCTACCAAGAAGCAAGGAGACTCTGGTTTCAGGCTTGGAAGTAGATTCCCTGCCAAGTTAACTTGTTAGCTGTTAACTATAACCAGATCTGAAACAGACCTGAGGTCTCCCTAACTAACAAGACTGGAGCACAGGACATGCAGCACGGTCAAGGCCAAAGCTGTCTTACCTAGTCAGTGACACCTCTACACCATGATTTGTCATTGTACTGATGGTGGTAAAAGAATCAAGAAACCTAGGGTTTCAACCAACACAAATATTAAGTTCTTGTATAGGGTAAACAAACAAAAAATAGGTTAAGTAGATGCCCCAAACATTACTTCTAAGATTATATGGCATAACTTTAAAGAGGTACAAATGGTTTCGTCTACACAAGGACAAGCTTTGTATTAATGTTTACAAAAATGAAAAATTAAAAAAAATTATTTCTTTAGCTGGGACCTCAGTTTAAGAGGTTCTTAAAAATATATCTTTCCTATATCACAGCCAAGATAAAAGGGGAGTAGGTTAAGAAATCCCCATCCAGCATCCCTGGAATTGAGAGAGAGCTCTAGATGCCAAGTGAGCTTACAAAGCACACTCAAAACAGGGTTTGAGATTATAGGCCTGTAGCGGCTGTTTCTTCCTTTCTATAACCAGTTATGTCCATCTTGGGTAGCTAGAAAATTGCTGGATTTTCGGTCATTTCAGTGGCCCAGAGACAGATCAGCTCCACTGGAGGGTTTCTGGGCTTCCTGGTAGGCCTACATGGCAAAACCTCCAGAACCAGACTTCAGAGGGGATATTGATGGATAGTGCCTCCATTGATCTGACAAGTTTCTGTCCTTAACCCACTTCCAGGACCCATAATGCTAGAATATGGGCCAGGTAAGGCATTAGAGGAACCAGAAGTAAATCAGCCTCTGGGCCCCTGTGCAGAGAAAGAATGGAATACTGATGATGGTGAACTGGGTAGATGCAGGCTGCTTCTCTTCTTTTGATATCTCTCTGCTCTGCAACTTCAGTTTACAGAGTACTTCTGACATTTGAAAGCCCTTGGTCTTCTGGGTGATAAGGCCCTGGTGGAAAGTGCAGCCACTACCTCTCAGTGATGCCTATTGTTGATAATGCTGAGAGCTTTCCTGATTTGCTTCATGATTGCAGAATTCATGATGATATGGGTAGTTCTAGCCTTCACTACCTGGACATTGTCCACACTGTCAATGGTCATGACAGGGGACAATTCACAGGCCTCTCCTTCTTATACCCTGATAAGGTGATCACACTTGCACTCTGGAATTGCTGCATGTGTTAGATGCAGAAATCCTGAGCCTAGGATTCTCAATGACATCACTGTAGCTGAGTGGCTGGTGGTACATCCTCATGGGCAGGCACATCTTGCCTACAGGCCCACTAGACACAAGAAGAAGCACTTCTGGATGTCTTGAAGCCATTTGAAGACTGGGCTTTGGGTGCTTTTTCTATATAGATTGCAGAGCTGAGTTCCTATTACAGTTTAAATGTGAGGTGTCCTCAGAAAGTTCATGTGTGAGATAATGCAAGATGGTTTAGAGATGAAATGTCTGGGTTAGGAATTAACTGAGTGGTAACTGTAGGCAGGTAGGGTGGAGGATTGCCTTTAGGGTATATATTTTGTCCTTGTTGAGCAAAACTACCCGTCTCTCCCTCTCTCTCTCTACCTCCTGATGCCATGCTCCCAAATGCCTTCCTCTACCACACACTTCTTTTTTTTTTTTTTAACACTATTTTTTAATTTGTTTTAATTAGTTACACATGACATTACAATGATCTCAACATCATACATTTGAATCAGATGGGATATAATTTCTAATTTTTTGAGTGTACAGGTTGCAGAATTACATTGGTCATGCAGTCACGTATATACCCACAGCAATAATGTCTATTTTATTCTGCTGTCCTTCCATTCCTCCCCTCCCCTCCCATCACTTCTCTCTACCCAATCTAATATGACCCACTTCTTTTTTTTTTCCCTCACATCTTCATACCTGAATTCTGTATAACGAAGGGGGTCACCTTCCCTCTTCCATGCAATTCCCATTCTCCCTCCCTTTCCCTCCCACCCCTCTTCCCTATCCAGAGGTAATTTTCTTCTCATGCTCTTCCTCCCTACCCCATTTGAGTCACCTCCCTTATATCAGAGAAGATATTCAGCAGTTGTTTTTTAGGGATTGGCTAGCTTCACTTAGCATAATCTGCTCTAATGCCATACATTTCCCTGCAAATGCCATGATCTTGTAATTTTTTAGTGCTGAGTAACATTCCAT